ATACTCTGAATACTCCAAATACTCTGAATACTCCAAATACTCTGAATACTCCAAATACTCTGAATACTCCAAATACTCTGAATACTCCAAATACTCTGAATACTCAATTCAGTTTATTTGTACAGATTGTGTTGAATCACTTCATCACAGTCTCCATCCTGAGCAAACGGTGGAGAGGAAAAACTCCCTGCTAATCAGGAAGAAACCTCCAGCAGAACCAGGCTCAGGACAGGAGACCATCTGCCTCGACCAGCTGGTTGGAGGACAGGAAAGAGACAGATGTCTGTTTTAAAGAACGTAACTCTGAATTAAACCAAGCAGTCGGCTTCCTCCGATCGATAACTTTCTTTTTTAGTGGAGCAATTTCATCAAGAGAAGTTTGTATTAAAGTTATAATATTATCAACAAGACCATGTAAGTTACTGTTCTCTGTTACATTATTCTGTAAGACAGGAAAATAAAGATGGAAGACATTCTTTAAATTTAACTACAGTGTTCCCTGATAAACATCTACTATAATGAAGTTTACTCTCAGTAAATATAAAGTTAACTAATGTAAACTCAAAGGTTATTAAAAATGGTCAGAGAGAACAGGACTGTGAGGATAAATCATTCAGTTCTAACTCTACACCAAACATCAGAACCAGATCAGTGTGATGAACAGAGTGAGCAGGTCTGTGGACATTTTGACTAAAACCAACTGACTCAATTAAATTACTAAAAGCTATATTTAAACTATCACTTTCACCATCAACATGAATGTTAAAATCTCCCATTATTATAATTTTATCAGGTTTTAATAATAAACCTGTCAGACAATCTGAGAACTCTGATAAAAACAGAATAAGGGCCTGGAGGACGATAAATAACAGCTAGTAACAGAGGTTTTTCTGATTTCCATTTTAAATGAGAGACTGAGGGACAAAGACTCAAACTGATTATAACTAATGTTAGATTTAGCATTAATTAATAGTTCAGACTTATAAACTGCAGCTACTCCTCCACCATGACCTGTTGTTCTAGGAACAGAACTAAATGTATTGAACTTATCAAGGCTGACATTTTATTAAAAATACCTCATTTTAATGAATGCCTTTTTCCAGGTGTGGCCCCATAAAGATTACCCTCTGATTCCTGTGGGCAAACTGGTCCTGAACAGGAACCCAGTCAACTACTTTGCAGAAGTGGAGCAGCTGGCCTTTGACCCCAGCAACATGCCTCCAGGCATCGAGCCCAGTCCAGACAAGATGCTGCAGGTAACAGACGTTTTTATTAGTTTGTGTTCTCCAGAAACCTTTTCCTCTCCTGTGTTTGTGTTCAGGGCCGGCTCTTCTCCTACCCCGACACACATCGGCACCGGCTGGGAGCAAACTACCTCCAGCTGCCTGTCAACTGCCCCTACAGGGCCCGCGTGGCCAACTACCAGCGTGATGGTCCCATGTGCTTCACTGACAACCAGGGTACGCCACAGTTCAGTTCTACAGCCTGAGGTCAGACAACAGACTGGACTAACGCAGCTTTAATGTCTGCAAACATTAAACATTAGGTTGTAGACGTGGTACAGTTTGACCCCACACTGAGCACAGAGCCATGACTTTACATAAAACTTATTTAACTTTGTTTTAGTTCCATGCTTCTTAAAAAATGTAACACTTTGTGTCACTGCCACCTTTTTTAAGCTTTTTTATTTATTATTTTTTTACTTCACTAAGTGTTGATTTGCTAAAACTGCAGCACGACTGGTTTAAAGTCCTCTACTCCAATAACTGGATGATTAAGTGGCTCCGCCCCCTGCACTGACCTCCTGTACAGAGGTGCAGCAACGCTTCATTAATGTACAGTTGCATTTTTTTGTCAGTCAGTTCAAAACGTTAAAGTCACATGCTTTCATCTGATATTAATATTGCTGATATGACCAATAACTAATTTTTACTGTTATAACACAAAATTGTATGTATAAAAAGAGTCTACCAGACTGACACGGCTCTACTTATTCCTGACTGCACAGCTTCACGATCAAACTCAGACAGAGGCCACTCCACCAACTGCTTTCCTTCTTGAAACAGAAGCACAACTGCAACAAGTGGGAAATGAGGATCCAACGTTAATATCAGCCCATTTATGCTTATTGGACTGATGTGTTTTGCTCTAAAATGACCAGTATCACTGGTACTGGTGTCAGTATTGTACATTCCTACTTCAAACCTTTCACGGTGTGAAATAATAAATTAAAGGCAGCTCCTCTAACATCAGAAAGGTCCTCCCACTGTCACTGTGGACATTTCTTTTTCTTTAAAACTGACTTTTTCTTCTGATCTTTAACTGTGGAATGACCCATTATTGTGGGCAGAGCTGTAACGTACCGGTAACTAAGTACAAATACTTCTTTACTGTACTTAAGTAGAGTTTTTGGGTATCTGTACTTTACTTGAGTAATTATTTTTCAGCCTACTTTATACTTCTATTTCTTACATTTTCACACAATTATCTGTACTTTCTACTCACTACATTAAAAAAAGACAAGAAGTATAAAGTCATTAGTTTTATTTCATTTCTGCTTGTTTTCATTGCAGCTTGTTGTTGTAAAAATAAAAACTATCCATATAAACTGAGCCTCCTAGATAGAGTGAATTTAACTGTGGTTGAATGAGAAGTATAAATATATAACATTGTGTATTGCGTGTAAGCTAAATGTTTTGCTTGAAACTTAAATA